ACTGAGGCTAGGAAACACTATCACCACCGATAAATCTACAATAATCGAGAATTTCAACAAGCATTTTGCTACAGCTGGCCATGCTTTCCATCTGGCTACCACTACCCCCGGCCACCAACTCTGCACCCTCTGCTGCAACTTGCCCATGCCCCCCCCCGCTTCTCCTTCACACAAATTCAGACAGCTGATGTTTTGAAAGCGCTGCAAAATCTGGACCCCTACAAATCAGCTGGGCTAGACAATCTGGACCCTTTCTTTCTAAAACTAGCCGCCGAAATTGTCGCAACCCCTATTACTAGTCTGTTCAACCTCTCTTTCATAACGTCTGAGATCCCCAGAGATTGAAAAGCTGCCGCGGTCATCCCCCTCTTCAAAGGGGGTGACACTCTAGATCCAAACTGCTACAGACCTATATCCATCCTGCCCTGCCTTTCGAAAGTATTTGAAAGCCAAGTTAACAAACAGATCACCGACCATTTCGAATACCACCGTACCTTCTCCGCTATGCAATCCGGTTTCCGAGCTGGTCATGGGTGCACTTCAGCCACGCTCAAGGTCCTAAACGATATTATAACCGCGATTGATAATAGACAGTACTGTGCAGCCGTCTTCATCGACCTGGCCAAGGCTTTCGACTCTGTCAACCACCGCATTCTTATTGGCAGACTAAATAGCCTTGGTTTCTCAAATGACTGCCTCGCCTGGTTCACCAACTACTTCTCAGATAGAGTTCAGTGTGTCAAATCGGAGGGCCTGTTGTCTGGACCTATGGCAGTCTCTATGGGGGTGCCACAGGGTTCAATTCTTGGGCCGACACTTTTCTCCGTGTATATCAATGATGTCGCTCTTGCTGCTGGTGACTCTCAGATCCACCTCTACGCAGACGACACCATTTTGTATACATCTGGCCCTTCATTGGACACTGTGTTAACAAACCTCCAAACGAGCTTCAATGCCATACAACAATCCTTCAGTAGCCTCCAACTGCTCTTAAACACTAGTAAAACTAAATGCATGCTTTTCAATCGAACGCTGCTGGCACCCGCCCACCCGACTAGAATCACCACTCTCGACGGGTCTGACCTAGAGTATGTGGACAACTACAAATACCTAGGTGTCTGGTTAGACTGTAAACTCAACTTCCAGACTCACATAAAGAATCTCCAATCCAAAGTTAAATCTAGAATCGGCTTCCTATTTCGCAACAAAGCCTCCTTCACTCATGCTGCCAAACATGCCCTCGTAAAACTGACTATCCTACCGATCCTTGACTTCGGCGATGTCATTTACAAAATAGCCTCCAACACTCTACTCAGCAAATTGGATGTAGTCTATCACAGTGCCATCCGTTTTGTCTCCAAAGCCCCATACACTACATTTACATTTTAGTCATTTAGCAGACGCTCTTATCCAGAGCGACTTACAGGAGCAATTAGGGTTAAGTGCCTTGCTTAAGGGCACATCGACAGATTTTTCACCTAGTCGGCTCGGGGATTAGAACCAGCGACCTTTCGGTTACTGGCACAACGCTCTTACCCACTAAGCTACCTGCCACCCACCACTGTGACCTGTACGCTCTTGTTGGCTGGTCCTCACTACATGTTCGTCGTCAAACCCACTGGCTCCAGGCCATCTATAAATCACTGCTAGGCAAATCCCCGCCTTATCTTAGCTCATTGGTCACCATAGCAGCACCCACCCGTAGTCTGCGCTCCAGCAGGTATATCTCACTGGTAATTTCCAAAGCCAACACCTCCTTTGGCCGCCATTCCTTCCAGTTCTCTGCTGCCAATGACTGGAACGAATTGCAAAAATCTCTGAAGCTGGAGACTCTTATCTCCCTCAATAACTTTAAGCATCAGTTGTCAGAGCACCTTACCGATCACTGCACCTGTACACAGCCCATCTGAAATTAGCCCACCCAACTACCTCATCCCTATATTGTTATTTATTTTGCTCTTTTGCACCCCAGTATCTCTATTTGCACATAATCTCTTGCACATCTAGCATTCCAGTGTTAATACTATTGTAATTATTTTGCACTATAGCCTATTTATTGCCTTACCTCCATAACTTGCTACATTTGCACACACTGTATATATATTTTCTGTTGTATTTTTGACTTTATGTTTTTTACCCCATATGTAACTCTGTGTTGTTTTTATTGCACTGCTTTGCTTTATCTTGGCCAGGTCGCAGTTGTAAATGAGAACCTGTTCTCAACTGGCTTACCTGGTTAAATAAAGGTGAAATGAAAAAAAAAAAAATGCTGCAGAGGATAAGTTCATTAGAGTTACCAGCCTCAGAAATTGCAGCCCAAATAAATGCTTCACAGAGTTCAAGTAACAGACATCTCAACCTCAACTGTTCAGAGGAGACTGCTTGAATCAGGCCCTCATGGTCGAATTGCTGCAAAGAAACCACCACTAAAGGATACCAATAATAAGAAGAGACTTCCTTGGGCCAAGAAACACAAGCAATGGACTTTAGACCGGTGTAAATATGTCCATTGGTCTGGAGTTCAAATTTGAGATTTTTTGTTCAAACCGCTGTGTCTTTGTGAGACGCGGTGTGGGTGAACGGATGATCTCTGCATGTGTATTTCCCACCGTAAAGCATGGAGGAGGAGGTGTTATGGTAGGGGTGCTTTGCTGGTGACACTGTGATTTATTTAGAATTCATTCTGCAGCGATACACCATCCCATCTGGTTTGGCCTTAGTGGGACTATCATTTGTTTTTCAACAGGACAATAACCAAACACACCTCCAGGCTGTGTAAGGGCTATTTTACCAAGAAGGAGAGTGATGGAGTGCTGCATCAGATGACCTGGCCTCCACAATCCCCCGATCTCAACCAAATTGGGATGGTTTGGGATGAGTCGGACCGCAGAGTGAAGCAAAAGCAGCTAACAAGTGCTCAGCAAGACTGTTGGAAAAGCATTCCAAGTGAAGCTGGTTGAGAGAATACTAAGAGTGTGCAAAGCTGTCATCAAGGCGAAGTAGTCCCGTGTAGCTCAGTTGGTAGAGCATGGCGTTTGCAACGCCAGGGTTGTGTGTTCGATTCCCACGGGGGGCCAGTATGAAAAAAAAAAATGTATGCACTAACTGTAAGTCGCTCTGGATAAAAGCGTCTGCCAAATGACTAAAATGTAAAGTGTGGCTATTTTAAGAATCTCAAATATATTTTGATTTGTTTAACACTTTTTTGGTTACTACAGTATTCCATGTGTTATTTCATAGTTTTGATGTCTTCACTATTATTCTAAAATGTATCAAATAGTAAAAATAAAGAAAAACCCTTGAATGAGTACGTGTTCTAAAACCTTTGACCGGTAGTGTATATATATATTTTTTAAACCCCCTGATTGGGTGGGCCAGTATTCAATCTGGCAGGGCCTAGCTTCGCCTCTGACTGTATATAATGTGTAGATCTTATGTTCTCCCTTCGTCAATCATAGCCTACCATCCCTCTCCCACATCCCCCTTTTTTCACTTTCATCGCCTAGATCTGTTTGTGTTTAAGTTAGTATTGCCAATTTTAATATTCAATTATAAGTTGTACTCCAAATTCAGCATGTTGCTGCCACTTGTAATTTTTTTAGATATATTCTCCCTTTCTCCCTCACCCATCAACAACACAGACAAAGAACACAAACAGGTAAACTTTAAATAGTTTTATTGATAGAATATTTTAAAGCGATCCCTTTCCACTTCATCCTACCCTGTTAACAAGGCATTAATGAAGTCATGCTAAGGCTATAAAAAGTAATAGAAATGACCGAACGACACACACATTCTGCAAGGCTTGCCGAGGTTATTCGTAATTGCAGTATTTGAGCATCACCTCAACCCTGCAAAGACAGGATACAGAGGTTCCCTACTACACCCAGTGCAGGTGTTTTATAATCTGTTGGTTCTGGTCCAAACTGTGTCAATGAGTGGACTGACAACACACATTTACACACACACATAACAAAGATTCACTGGGTCAGGGCAAAGAGAATGCAATCTTGTTTAAATCACAGGCATCTTTTTCGTTGCCATAATAATAATTTATGTAGAACAGTCGCAGGACCTCCCCTCCCCACCAGCAGATGGCACTGGCGAGCCGCTGTAACTTCACCATCAGTGCAAAGGGTCTGTGACAAACAGCGACAACAAACTGAAGTTAACAGCAATCAAAAGAATCATGATAATAAAAAAGTCAGAAATCGACTAAAGGAAATAAGAGAGTTAAGAGCGGCACTAGGCTGTAGACATACGGGGCCTTTAAGAAGGGGTGATACCCTCTACCTTTAAGCAGGGTTCTTTCTACCTTTAAGCACACACTTTTGATTGCCCAGTGCAAACACTGAGGACAAGCACCACCATTTCTCTCCTAGAGTATTTTATCTGTCTTTCTAGGCCCCACAGATCCACCACTTGTGCCAGGGTCCAGGGTTTAAGGGCTCATGGGTTCAAGTCACAAGACAAAGGATTACAGATGTTTCAAGTCGCAAAACAATCAACAGCAAAGTTAGACAGCAATGATGGTAACACACGAGTGAATATACAATAATACATTTCATACAACTACATTGTACATACAGTCAGTAGAAAATAAAGCATATTTTACCACTGTAAATATATGTATATATGAATTCTATAAAACAGACCAGTTATGCTATGAATATAGCTACATGTAAAGCTTTATTTGTTATATATTACTAACGACAGTACAGTATCAGTGGTTCCCTGACCATTCCAGCTGAATTGGTTTCTGAGCAAGCATCTCCTCAGGGCAGCCCTTGCCTTATACCAAGGATATGATGCAACCGTAGAATTCTAATTCCATGGTCCGATGCTGCACCCCTCCACAGGCCGAGCGGTAAGCTCAGGGTGGGTACGCAGAGGAGGAGGGTGAGACCACGGAGGGAGAGGTCGGATGGCTGGAGCCTTGTGGGAGCGTCCTCCCCTCTCCTCATCTCCAGGGCATGTCTGCGCCTCCTGTACCCATTTTAGCCTTTCACAGAGATCTTGTTCTCTACGGCAGCCAGCATGGAACAGAATCGAGAGTTCTCATTGGCCAGCAGGTTGGACGGCTCGTCAAAGTCCACCACCTAAATGAAATGGAGGATGGGGAAAACAAAACAAGGCTTTAGGGATTCCTTGGAGCATAGATGTGAGGGAGTATCACTACATAAATGTTGATTTAGTAAGACCTAAAAGCCTTCCAAGCCAATTAGCCAGTTGTAGAGACAGGAAATGTGAATGTATGTAACCTCACGTTCCGTCTCTGTATGACCGACCCGAGATGCAAACCCTTGTTTAAAACAACTTTGTGACCACAAAGCAGCTTCCTGCCCTACTAAAACCATGCTTAGGTTGAGCTACAGGGCAACACAGTTTCAGGACTCACTAGCTAGCTAGTTCTGCTACACATATAGTACTAATCTCTCGTAAAAGGCAAGTGAATGTACAGTAGATGAGCTTGTGTTGTGTGTACCTGTCCCTGGTTGAGTACCATGATGCGGTCATAGTTGAGTACGGTGTGCAGCCGGTGGGCTATAGTCAGGGTGGTGCAGTCTTGAAAGGCATTGCGGATTGTCTCCTGGATCAGAGAATCCGTCTCCGAGTCCATTGCTGCTGTGGCCTCGTCCAAGATCAGGACCTGAGAAGGGAGGGGGCACCGAGAGCTAAGTCAGAAAGGTGCTGTGACCATAGACGACTAAAGTTATCTTTCTACACACAAGGTTGGCTACCCGGAAAACCATTAGATGTCAAAACACATGAAAATTACAATTCTCTCAATTCCCATTTTGAAGGGTACCTTGCACTGTCTGAGCAGGACTCTAGCGACACAGAGCAGCTGTCTCTCTCCCACAGAGAAGTTATCTCCATTCTCCACCACCTCTGACTCCAGCTTCAGGGGCAGCTGAGACACCTGGATGGATGGATGGATGGACAGAGAGAGGGAGAGAGAGAGTACTGAAACAAAGACAGGAAATTAGACATGGGTCTAATTTCTCAGTCCTGTGTTACCTCTGCCCTTCTGAGCCTCTGTGCCTATAACTCCACCCCACCTGCTGGCACACAAGCATCTTTCTAAAAAACCAGTCATCTAGTATGAGCATACTCTCTCGTGTAGTCTCTTACTCTGTGGATGACCGAGTCCCGGATACTCACACACTCCTTTATGTGTGTCCGCTCCAGAGCGTCCCAGATCAGCTCCTCTGCGTATTGGTTTAAGGGGTCCAGTTTGACCTGGGGGTGGATAGAGGACAAGGACAACTTCAAGACAATGCATCGGCAGTCACCAGAATAAATGTATCAGTGGGTGGGACTAAAGGAAAAATCCCATGTGCCAACTCAGCAAGACAACACAACCACATCTGGGACCACCAGGCTAGTGACAGTGTTCATTTACAGTCACAATAGTACAGTGAGCATTTGAGTGGCATGCCCACCTGACTGTGCCGCTGAAAAGCACAGGCTCCTGAGGGATAACGGACAGCTTGCTGCGGAGGTCGGCCAGGCCGATGTCACAGATGTTGATGCCGTCTATCTTGATGGAGCCGCCACAGGGCTCCACCAGACGGAACAGAGCTACGCCCAGAGAAGACTTCCCTGTGGATAGAGCAGGGCAGGGGGGACATACTCTGCAAAATAAATCTGGAGCTAGCGTAAACTATATTTAAAAGATATAAATGTAGGTTTCAATAGGAATTACGTGAAATTGACCTCGTTCCTGGATATATAACACATGAGATTATATTATAGATGGGTAGGATTTTCAGATACATGATCAAACAGGGCACGGCTTCGAGAGATGTTTCACTGACTGTTTCCACTGACCTGAGCCCGTCCGGCCCACTATGCCAATCTTCTCCTTGGGCCGGATGGTGCAGGACACCTTCTTGAGCACAAGTGGCAAGTTGTCTCTGTACCTCATCTCTGTCCCGTCAAACACCACCTCGCCCTTCTGGGGCCAGTCTGGCGGGGGTGCCTTGTTCTTGATGCGGGCCGGGGCCTCCAGTGCTACATTTACATTTACATTTACGTCATTTAGCAGACGCTCTTATCCAGAGCGACTTACAGTTAGTGAATGTATATATATTTTTTTTAATACTGGCCCCCCGTGGGAATCGAACCCACAACCCTGGCGTTGCAAACGCCATGCTCTATCAACTGAGCTACATCCCTGCCGGCCATTCCCTCCCCTACCCTGGACGACGCTGGGCCAATTGTGCGCCGCCCATGACTCTCCCGGTCGCGGCCGGCTGCGACAGAGCCTGGATTCGAACCAGGATCTCTAGTGGCACAGTTAGCACTGCGATGGAGTGCCTTAGACCACTGTGCCACTCAGGAGTAGAGACTAGAGGACTGGGGGAAAGCAGGGGAGACCGCTCTGGGGTTCATAATAATAATAATACTGCACTTCATTTGTTTAGCACCTTTCAAACATATACAATGCAGCCCAAAATGCTTTAAAAAAGTGTAGTTAAAATAACTTGGAAAAACTCTAGGCCTCAGCTATATGATCTCCGTCTTCTTAGGGTTTCCTAGTTTTAGAATGATGAAAACACGCAGCAGGCCACAGTGTTAGTGAGACAATATATACAGTAAAAGTGCAGTGCCATGTATTAGTAGTGTAGTAACCTCAATGTAGTGGTGAATTCTCTCCATAGAAGTGAAGCGAGCCTCAGTTTCAGAGGCTAGTCTGACTGTGAACTGGAACAGCCCTGTGAGCTCAGAGAGAAAGAGGGAGAGAGGGATAAGATGTTTATCCAATTAAATGCATTCATGTCATCTATACTACTGTAACCATGTCCTCCTCTTTGAACCAAGTTTCAAATAAGTATGTATAACATGCATTGTCATTTCATATAATGGATCCACGCAGCTCTGTTTAGATATATAACCAACCAACCAAGGGAAAGATGAGTGAGGAATGGATGGGAAAGTGGAGTGACCGAAAGAGAGGAGAAGATAGAGGAAGTAACAGAGAGCAAAGGGGGAAAGACAAGGGGAGTAATACTGGTAAGTAAAGAGAAAAGTGAGGGAAAGAAAGCAGAGGAGATTTGGAAAATTGTCTGGATGCCCCAATCATTCCCCATTGATTTTTAGCTAGCTAGCATCTAACTAATTTGAGTGAAAGTTAAGTTTCCCCCCTCCTGTAGGGAGGGATTTCTTCATAGGAGAAGCACTGACCTGCATGGCATAGGAGATGGCCAGGCCGGCGTAGGCCGGGGGGATCTGGCCATGCATGAGGACTATCATGAGCGTTGTGATTATGATCAGAGCCACACTGATGACGTCCAGCCGCACGGCCAGCCAGCGCATGGCACAGCTGAACAGGTAGAAAGAAGCCTGGTTCTGATCCAGGAGCTCCTGATACCTGGAGACCACAACCAGACAGACAGACGGGAAGTTTGAGAAAAAGTTCAACTTTTGGATGCTTGGTTTCTTGCTTTAGTCATCAAGGAACTAGGATATTTAAAAGGGGCTATATGGAACTTTGTCTCTGGGGGTGCTCTTGAGCCAAAAGGGGTGCCCTAAATGGACAGAAGATACATAAATTACCTCACTGTACTGAAAGGGTAAAGCCTCCCCACACTCATAAACAAAGGCATATTGTTTGCCTAGAACTAAGGCTGTGAGATACATTGATTAATATGACATCATATATGAACAATAGAGGCAACATTCAAGCGAACAACAATTATAAACTAAACTTCCATAGCACATATTTAACGAGACTGATCTGAGGGGTTTGGTGGAGCATGTTTTCCAGTACAGATCTAGGATCAGCTTCCCCTCACCGCATACTAACCTTTAACTACTCCCCAGAGTCAGATTAACTCATGGACACCATTTTTATGTCTCTGCATCCAGTATGAAGCAGGGATGGAACCAAGTCACAATTTTGCAAGTCCTAAGCAAGTCTCAAGTCTTCACCTTCAAGTCTTCACCTTCAAGTCTCGATTCATGGGCGGCGCACAATTGGCCCAGCGTCGTCCAGGGTAGGGGAGGGAATGGCCGGCAGGGATGTAGCTCAGTTGATAGAGCATGGCGTTTGCAACGCCAGGGTTGTGGGTTCGATCCCCACGGGGGGCCAGTATAAAAAAATATATATATGTATTCACTAACTGTAAGTCGCTCTGGATAAGAGCGTCTGCTAAATGACTAAAATGTAAATGTAAGTCCCAAGTAATAATGGGCAAGTCTCAAGTACAGTTCCACACCTCAGGTCGAGTCAAGTCACAAGTCCCTAATTTTGAGTTTCGAGTCCAGTCAAGTGTTTTATGCCAATTTCAATGGAATTTTTTATTTCCTGTTTTTCTTACACTCCATAATAAACTTGAGTCAAAGATCATGTTAGAAATGTTTTTTTGGGGTATTAATATTACTGATAGAAAAGGCCATTCAAATGGCACCAATGACAATACTTTTAGTCTTAAGGTTTCAACAAAAAAACACAATCCAAAAAGTTTTGTTTTTGCATGACTATACAATAAAAACAAGTGCAACCTTCAGAGTAGCCATTGTATATCTTCTACAGTGGCTTGCGAAAGTATTGACCCCCCTTGGCATTTTTCGTATTTTGTTGCCTTACAACCTGGAATTAAAATGGATTTTTGGGGGGTTTGTATCATTTGATTTACACAACATGCCTACCACTTTGAAGATGCAAAATATTTTTTATTGTGAAACAAACAAGAAATAAGACCAAAAAAAAGAAAACTTGAGCGTGCATAACTATTCACCCCCCCCCAAAGTCAATACTTTGTAGAGACATATTTTGCAGCAATTACAGCTGCAAGTCTCTTGGGGTATGTCTCTATAAGCTTGGCACATCTAGCCACTGGGATCTTTGCCTATTCTCCAAGGCAAAACTGCTCCAGCTCCTTCAAGTTGGATGGGTTCCGCTGGTGTACAGCAATCTTTAAGTCATACCACAGATTCTCAATTGGATTGAGGTGTGGGCTTTGACTAGGCCATTCCAAGATATTTAAATGTTTCTTCTTAAACCACTCAGGTGTTGCTTTAGCAGTATGCTTAGGGTCATTGTCCTGCTGGAAGGTGAACCTCCGTCCCAGTCTCAAATCTCTGCAAGACTGAAACAGGTTTTCCTCAAGAATTTCCCTGTATTTAGCGCCATCCATCATTCCTTCAATTCTGACCAGTTTCCCAGTCCCTGCCGATGAAAAACATCCGCACAGCATGATGCTGCCACCACCATGCTTCACTGTGGGGATGGTGTTCTCGGGGGGTGATGAGAGGTGTTGGGTTTGCGCCAGACATAGCGTTTTCCTTGATGGCCAAAAAGCTCAATTTAAGTCTCATCTGACCAGAGTACCTTCTTCCATATGTTTGGGGAGTCTCCCACATGCCTTTTGGCGAACACCAAACGTGTTTGCTTATTTTGTGCTTTAAGCAATGGCTTTTTTCTGGCCACTCTTCCGTAAAGCCCAGCTCTGTGGAGTGTACGGCTTAAAGTGGTCCTATGGACAGATACTCTAATCTCCGCTGTGGAGCTTTGCAGCTCCTTCAGGGTTATCTTTGGTCTCTTTGTTGCCTCTGATTAATGCCCTCCTTGCCTGGTCCGTGAGGTTTGGTGGGCGGCCCTCTCTTGGCAGGTTTGTTGTGGTGCCATATTCTTTCAATGTTTTAATAATGGATTTAAATGGTGCTCCGTGGGATGTTCAAAGTTTCTGATATTTTTTTATGACCCAACCCTGATCTGTACTTCTCCACAACTTTGTCCCTGTCCTGTTTGGAGAGCTCCTTGGTCTTCATGGTGCTGCTTGCTTGGTGGTGACCCTTGCTTAGTGGTGTTGCAGACTCTGGGGCCTTTCAGAACAGGTGTATATATACTGAGATCATGTGACACTTAAATAAAGTCCACCTGTGTGAAATCTAACTAATTATGTGAGTTCTGAAGGTAATTGGTTGCACCAGATCTTATTTAGGGGCTTCATAGCAAAGGGGGTGAATACATATGCACGCACCACTTTTCCATTATTTGATTTTTGTAATTGTTTGAAACACGTAATTTATTTCATTTCACTTCACCAATTTGGACTATTTTGTGTATGTCCATTACATGAAATCCAAATAAAAATCAATTTAAATGACAGGTTGTAATGCAACAAAATAGGAAAAACACCAAGGGGGCTGAATACTTTTGCAAGGCAATGTAAGTACGTTTATGCTACATTATCATTAATTTCCTCTCTCTCTTACAATGCATTGCTTTTGCAAAATATCAAATTGTCCATCACCCATTTGTGAGCGATGGGGCCGCAGTATGGTTGAACACACGCTCCACAGGAGCACCTGAAGCAAGCACTGTCAAGACCCTCATCGCCACTCGGAACAGAAAAATAATTGTGTTTCTGTTGATAGCCCAGAGGTTGTACTGTCCTTCGCAAATGTCAAGGTAGTGGCTGAACTGAGATGCTGGAGTGCCACACACTTCTCTCCTTTGTCTTTAGCAATATGCTGAAAACATCCCTGACTCCTCTCCCAGAAAACAGTCCTCCTTCTCAGTTGTGGTTGGATCCACAGGTTGCCCAGTCTCTGAAGCCTCTTGCAGAATTAAATCTGATGAAAAAACAAAAAAATTAACAAAGGTTAGTCGTACTATTATTATTAGTTTACTATTTACATTAAAATGCTGTATAAATTAAATGAATTAGGCTAAGTATTAATTCTATTGGTAAACTTTGAATATTTTTATGATAAAAACATACACACCTTTCACCATTTCAGTCACCTTCTCCTTAAGTCCATCATCCACCAGAACATGTCGTTCCAGCCACATCAGTGTGAAGGATGGATCTAGCACAGCTGCTTTAAATAGACATGGTCTGAGAAGGGTGTCATCTTGACTTTGATGAAGATTCTAAGAAATCTCCTGTTCAGTGATGCTTGGAGACTTCTGACCAGGCCAGTAAGGTAGCTCGCTTGTGGTTTCTGCGTCTCCAGATGATGGTGTAGGGAAAGAATGCAAGGAACCATCGCATGGATTGTGACAACTTCTCTCCTTCGGTAATATCTGTGGCTTCTGCAAAAGGCTGAAGAAAGTCACCCAACTCTTTCAGTAGTTTCCATTTCCATTTTACATTTTAGTCATTTAGCAGGCACTTTTATCCAGAGCGACATACAGTTAGTGAGTACATACATTTTCATACACTCTCAATTAAAATATAAATTCCTTATGCTCCTCCTCTTCCAGCAATCCACAACTTCACGTAGTCGCAATGGAGCACTGCTCTCACCTGCCTCAGTGTGGCGTTCCAGCATGTGTTCACTACAGCAGGAATTCCCCTCACTCCAAACTCACCCACAAACGCCTCTTTAAAAGTGGTGCTAGTGTGGAGCAATGAGCTAATTGCTGAAGCTGGAGACACTTATCTCCCTCACTAACTTTAAGCATCAGTTGTCAGAGCAGCTTACCGATCACTGCACCTGTACACAGCCCATCTGTAATTAGCCCACCCAACTACCTCATTCCCATATTGTTATTTACATTCTTATTTATTTGGCTCATTTGCACCCCAGTATCTCTATTCACACATCATATTCTGCACATCTAACACTCCAGTGTTAATACTAAATTGTAATTGTTTTGCACTATGGCCTATTTATTGCCTTACTTCCATAACTTACTACATTTGCACACACTGTATATAGATTTTCTATTGTGTTATTGACTGTACGTTTTGTTTATTCCATATGTAACTCTGTGTTGTTGTTTTTATCGCACTGCTTTGCTTTATCTTGGCCAGGTCGCAGTTGTAAATGAGAACTTGTTCTCAACTGGCTTACCTGGTTAAATAAAAGGTTAAATAAAAAAATAAAAAATAATCTTAGACACTTTGGAATGAGCTGGACTGACAACTTTAGTCTCCTTCAACCCATCCCCCACCACTAGTTGCAATGTATGTGCAAATCACTTTATTTTTTATTTAACCTTTATTTAACTAGGCAAGTCAGTTAAGAACAAATTCTTATTTACAATGACGGCCTACCCCGGCCAAATCCGGACGAAGCTGGGCCAATTGTGCGCCGCCCTATGGGCCTCCCAATCACGGCTGGATTGTGATACAGCCTGGAATCGAACCAGGGGGTCTGTAGTGAAGCCTCAAGCACTGAGATGCAGTGCCTTAGACCGCTGCGCCACTCGGGAGCTCTTTAAACGTTGTTGATGACAATTTTTACCCAAAGTAGTGTCGATGGTCTCCTGTTCTTCAACTTCCAGGTTATTCCATATGTCTGAATCATCTAGGTGATGATCATCATGGACAGCCTCTTCACTTGGGAAGCACACTGTGAACGCTTTTTTTATGTTAGCTGCATTGTCACAATGTAATCTAGCTTGTGTTTGATCCCGTACTCCTCACAGATGCCTGCAAACTGCTCGCATATTCGCTCCCGTGTGTGATCCTCTAAAACGATTACACGCCAGCACATTGGACTTCATTCTCCATTTCAATCCAGTGAGCGGTGACCCCAAGGAATCCCCTCATCTTTCTGTCAGACCATATGTCTACCGTGACAAAGACGTGGTCAGCTTGTGTCATCTGGTCTTTGAGTTTCGTCTGCCTGTCGGCAACCAGGTTGTCAATCTTGGAGGTTATGGCTCTGCGACAGACTGGGCGTATTTGCTATCAACCGCTGACAAAAAGTGACTAAAGCTTGTGTTCAATGATGGACAGGAGCATGTTGCAATCCACAATCAGGTCTGACATTATGGAATTGGTGATAGCTTTTTGCTGTGGATGGTTTGTGTTGTACAGAAGTTGGAAATGTGAGGCTGCTGAGGGTCACTGCTGATCATCTCACTCTTCTGGTATTCAAAGCTATAAAATAAGTTTAAAACAAAAACAAATTGCAACATTTTGATATATGATGGAGATTATAAAATCTCCACCACCATATTTTTTTGTTGAATTCATGAATGAGCATATTTAAAAAACCTGATATTATTCAGTAGGTAATTGTCTATGTATTTAGATAAACTTCTATTTAAAAATGTTTTATAGTATGCCTACAGGTAAAAAACCAAAGTGTTATTTTAGATTCTTAACTCAATTTCAAATCACACATTAGGAATGTGACCAAAATAGCTTTTTACCACCTGAGGAACATTGACAAGGTGCGGCCGTTTCTCTCTCAGGCTGATACAGAGAGACTCATCCATGCTTTTATTACAAGCAGGCTTGACTACTTTAATGCTCTCCTGTCTGGTCTAGCCAAGAAAGCCATTGGTCAACTGCAAAACATACAGAATGCTGCAGCAAAGGTACTGACCAAGACCAGATGGCGAGCACACTTTACATTGGTTTTAAGGTCTCTGCACAGGCTGCCTGTGAGTTTTAGAATACATTTTAAGATTATTCTATTGGTTTTTAAATAAATCCACGATTCTGCACCCCAATACGTCAGACATGCTTTTAAGTTATGTACCCAGTAGGTTCCTCAGGTCCTCTAGCACTGGCCTTTTAACTATCCCAAAGCCTAGGACCAAGAGGCATGGAGAGGCAGCCTTTAGTTATTATGCCCCCAGCCTCTGGAATCGCCTGCCAGAGAACATGAGCGGGGCCGAAACTGTGGACATATTTAAAAGAGATCTTAAAACGCATCTTTTTAGCTTTGCTTTTCCTTAGGGTCGTTCAGTTTTAGTCATTATTTTGTTTTTTTAATCTTATGTTTGTTGTGTAGTAAATATTTCAGCTTTTATTTTCATTGTTTTTTATTTGTTTTTTCCTGCGAAGCACATTGCGTTGTGTGGTGGAAAAATCATGACATAAGCTTATGAATTGTTTAACCCTGGCTATAGGATTGTGTGTATTGGTTGCTATAATGTAATACATATTTTCTACATGACATGTTTTATAACTAGTTCGCTTTGTGCTCACATGAGGAGGACGTTTCAGTGTGTGTGTGTGTGTGTTAGCAGACAATACCCAAGAGAGAACCTTGAGCTTCTTGGGTGAACGCCCAGAAATAGCCTCTGAGAACTTAATCAGGAGCAGGTGTCTTGATACACATTCTCTTTCGTACCCAAACCTCCTCCCGTGTGCTGAGGATGAATCGTGTTTATGTGAGTTGTGTGTATCCTAGTATAAAAGGTGCTTGGGGACAGCCCCCTGGTAGAGCTTCTGACCGACCTGTGCAGAGGTTGTGAATCTTAATACAGTTAATTGACTAAATTTACTTAATGAGTACTTGATGGTAATTTCCATTAAAGTTGCATTCCATGTCTGAAATGTGCTGTATAAATAAAGGTTGATTTGATTTGATACATAGGGATGTTAAAAACAAAATTCTAAACTTGCTGTCCACTTCGGACACAAATGATAGGGGGGACCCATTGCAAGCTAATAAGTTTGAGAACATTACCCCCCCCCCCCCGCCCACTGGATGCGCATTGTGATCTGTTGAGGTTGGTTGGCTAATAACAGAAGGTGCTGCAATAGGAGAGGTGGTGAGAGGATGAATGGAAGGTGATGCCATTTTGGGATGGGGAAATCTAAACAAGTTTCCAGAGTCTCTTGAGTCATACAGCTCAAGTTAAGTCACGAGTCATAGATGCTCAAGTCGAAGTCGAGTCGCAAGTGCTTTTTCTTTTCGCCAAGTCAAGTTTCAAGTCTCAAAATTTGCGACTCGATTAGTACTTGAGTCCAAGTCACGTGACTCAACATCTCTGGTATGAAGGAAGTTACTTAGTTTTGCAACCCAATGCTAATTAGCATTAGCGCTAGCAATGCTAGCTGTACCCGAAGACTTCTAGTCTTTGAGCTAAGCTAGTTAGCATTGGCTCGTGAAACTACCTCCAACTTCCTTCATACTGGATGCAGAGAAATAAAAATGGTATCCACATCATCTGACTCTGGGAAAGTACTGTAGATAAAGGGCTTCATTGCCAAAATCCCAAACTATCCCTTTAACCATTAGTGGGGAAAATGTGAAACTGACCCAAGATCAGTGTCTAGAGGGAACTTCACCCTACACCTCGACATCTCACCTGTCCAGGAACTTGTGGCCCCTGTTGTAGGCGTGGACGGTGGAGAGGCCCTGGATGCTGGAGGTGATGTGCGAGATGAAGGGCGACTGGGTGACGTTGTCCAGGCGCTTGAGCTCGCGGATGAACACACGCGACACCATGTGGAGCATGGTGAAGAGCAGCACCAGGGGGCCCACAGCCACTAGAAACCAGGGGAAGATGCTGCCGATCACACCCAGGCAAAAGAAGACCAGGATGACGTTCTGGATGAACATCTCTGCCTGGAACGGCAGCCGCGTGTCCACTGGGAGGGAGGAAGAGGGGGGAGAGAGAGAGAAGGAGAGAGAGAAAAGACAAGAAGACAGATGGTTCAGTGACTATTACTTATTCCACTTGTGTAATCACCAAAAACACTCAACTTCATTACTATCGTTACTGTTACAAAGTCATTAGGAATTTGCTCTGTAAGCAACAATGCATTCATATACATTGTTGTTACAGTACTTAGTGTAATGCACAAGTACAAAAGCAGCTTCATGTTAAAGGGATACTTTGGGATTTTGGCAACGAAGACCTTAATCTACTTCCCCAGAGTCAGATGATCTCATGGATACCATTTGTATGTCTCCGCGTGCAGTTTGAAGGAAGTTGCAAATTAGCGTTAGTGCAATTGCTAACTAGCATTAACGCAATGACTGGACGTTCCTGTAGACCCCCTGTATATAGCCTCCCTACTGTTATTTTATTTTACTGCAGCTCTTTAATTATTTGTTATTTTTAACTTATCTATATTTTACTTAACACTGCATTGATGGTTAAGGGCTTGTAAGTAAGCATTTCACTCTAAGGTCTACACCTGTTGTATTCGGCGCATGTGGCAAATAAAATTCGATTTGGATTTAGACCAGGGGTCTTCAACCTTTTCTTGCCCAGGGACAAAATAAATAAATAAATAACATGCCTCGCCTTATCATGATATTGGCAAGAAGTAATTTTTATTTATTTTTATGAATAGATTTGGTAGATCGTTTTTCATTATTTTGACCTCCCCACATTATAATTGGAAGAGGAAGTGTAAACTCTAACATACAGTGAGGGTAAAAAGTATTTGATCCCCTGCTGATTTTGTACGTTTGCCCACTGACAAAGAAATTATCAGTCTATAATTTTAATGGTAGGTTTATTTGAACAGTGAGAGACAGAATAACAACAAAAAAATGAATTTTAATGAGGGAAATAAGTATTTGACCCACTCTCAATTAGAAAGATTTCTGGCTCCCAGGTGTCTTTTATACAGGTAACGAGCTGAGATTAGGAGCACACTCTTAAAGGGAATGCTCCTAATCTCAGCTTGTTACCTGTATAAAAGACACCTGTCCACAGAAGCAATCAATCAATCAGATTCCAAACTCTCCACCATGGCCAAGACTAAAGAGCTCTCCAAGGATGTCAGGGACAAGATTGTAGACCTACACAAGGCTGGAATGGGCTACAAGACCATCGGCAAGCAGCTTGGTGAGAAGGTGACAACAGTTGGTGCGATTATTCGCAAATGGAAGAAACACAAAAGAACTGTCAATCTCCCTCGGCCTGGGGCTCCATGCAAGATCTCACCTCGTGGAGTTGCAATGATCATGAGAACGGTGAGGAATCAGCCCAGAACTACACGGGAGGATCTTGTCAATGATCTCAAGGCAGCTGGGACCATAGTCACCAAGAAAACAATTGGTAACACACTACGCCGTGAAGGACTGAAATCCTGCAGCGCCCGCAAGGTCCCCTGCTCAAGAAAGCACATATACAGGGCCATCTGAAGTTTGCCAATGAACATTTGAATGATTCAGAGGAGAACTGGGTGAAAGTGTTGTGGTCAGATGAGACCAAAATCGAGCTCTTTGGCATCAACTCTACTCGCCGTGTTTGGAGGAGGAGGAATGCTGCCTATGACCCCAAGAACACCATCCCCACCGTCAAACAAGGAGGTGGAAACATTATGCTTTGGGGGTGTTTTTCAGCTAAGGGGACAGGACAACTGTAATGTAATGCTATGATCCAGTGGAAATGTCATAAAATAGGCCTACCTGATTAATTCTTATCCCTTGCGCAAATAGCCTACAGCTGTGTCTGTCCGGAGCTCACTGGCTCAGGAAACTGAGGGCCCAGAATATTTTATACAATTTTGCAAATTTTGCTAGCAGGAGCTGCTTCAGGCCAGACCAAGTTAATAGTTGATACAATGTTTCAAGTTCCTTGCAGACAGAAAATGCATAGCCAATGTGATTTATATGATATTTATTTTTATCTGGATATTTTCTACCTGCGGGCTTTATGTAGTCTATTTTTACATTATGGCAATAGAAGTTACCTTTTGGCATTTTCTTTCTTCTGGATAGGCTATATTGATCTCTGGCTCCATCTTTAGTAATTTGTGTGTCTTCATTTTTAATCGCAGCGCTTAAAGCATCAGACAAGCTCAGTAGCCTACATTATAGTTGATTTTATTCAAACTTAAATTTCGACCAATTGATTCTCTCTCTCTCTCTCTCTCGCTCTCTCTGAACATAACATTCAACAACAAACAAACTGAACAAGTTCCACAGACTTGTGACTAACAGAAATTGAATAATGTGTCCCTGAACAAAGGGGGTCAAAATCAAAAGTAAGTCAGTATCTGGTGTGGCCACCAGCTGCATTAAGTACTGCAGTGCATCTCCCCCTCATGGACTGCACCAGATTTGGCAGTTCTTGTGGTGAGATGTTACACCACTTTTCCACATGGCACCTGCAACTTCCTGGACATTTCTGGGGGGGAATGGCCCTATCCAACAGGTCCCAGACGTGCTCAATGGGATTGAGATTACATTTACATTTACGTCATTTAGCCGACGCTCTTATCCAGAGCGACTTACAAATTGGTGCATTCACCTTATAGCCAGTGGGATAACCACTTTACAATTATTATTTTTTTGGGGGGGGGGGGGGGGGTAGAAGGATTACTTTATCCTATCACAGGTATTCCTTAAAGAGGTGGGGTTTTAAGTGTCTCCGGAAGGTGGTGAGTGACTCCGCTGTCCTGGCGTCGTGAGGGAGCTTGTTCCACCATTGGGGTGCCAGAGCAGCGAACAGTTTTGACTGGGCTGAGCGGGAACTGTGCTTCCGCAGAGGTAGGGGGGCCAGCAGGCCAGAGGTGGATGAACGCAATGCCCTCGTTTGGGTGTAGGGACTGATCAGAGCCTGAAGGTACGGAGGTGCCGTTCCCCTCACAGCTCCGTAGGCAAGCACCATGGTCTTGTAGCAGATGCGAGCTTCAACTGGAAGCCAGTGGAGTGTGCGGAGGAGCGGGGTGACGTGAGAGAACTTGGGAAGGTTGAACACCAGACGGGCTGCGGCATTCTGGATGAGTTGTAGGGGTTTAATGGCACAGGCAGGGAGCCCAGCCAACAGCGAGTTGCAGTAATCCAGACGGGAGATGACAAGTGCCTGGATTAGGACCCTCCGAATGTTGTGAGATCCGGACTCTTCGCTGGCCATGGCAGAACACTGACATTCCCGTCACAGAACGAGCAGTATGGCTGGTGGCATTGTCATGCTGGAGGGCCATGTCAGGATGAGCCTGCAGGAAGGGTACCACATGAGGGAGGACGATGTCTTCTCTGTAACGCACAGCGTTGAGATTGCCTGCAATGACAACAAGCTCAGTCCGATGATGCTGTGACACCGCCCCAGACCATGACGGACCCTCCACCTACAAATCGATCCCGCTCCAGAGTACAGGCCACGGTGTAACGCTCATTCCTTCGACGATAAACGCAAATCCGACCATCACCCCTGGTGAGACAAAACCGTAACTCGTCAGTAAAGAGCACTTTTTGCCAGTCCTGTCTGGTCCAGCGACGGTGGGTTTGTGCCCATAGGCGACGTTGTTGCTGGTGATGTCTGGTGAGGACCTGCCTTCACAGGCCTACAAGCCCGCAGTCCAGCCTCTCTCAGCCTATTGCAGACAGTCTGAGCACTGCATTCCTGGTGTAACTTGGGCAGTTGTTGTTGCCAACCTGTACCTGTCCCACAGGTGTGATGTTCGGATGTACCGATCCTGTGCAGGTGTTGTTGCATGTGGTCTGCCACTGCAAGGACGATCAGCTGTCCATCCTGTCTGCCTGTACTGCTTTCTTAGGTGTTTCTCATGCCTCCTGTAGCTCAGTTGGTAGAGCATGGTGCTTGCAACGGCAGGGTTGTGGGTTCGATTCCCACGGGGGGCCAGTATGAAAAATGTATGCACTCACTAAATGTAAGTCGCTCTGGATAAGAGCGTCTGCTAAATGACTCAAATGTAAATGTCTCACAGTACGGACATTTTATTGCCCTGGCCACATGCCTCCTTGCAGCATACCTAAGGCACGTTCACGCAGATGAGCAGGGACCCTTGGCATCTTTCTTTTGGTGTTTTTCAGAGTCAGTAGAAAGGCCTCTTTAGTGTCCTAAGTTTTCATAACTGTGACTTTAATTGCCTACCGTCTGTAAGCTGTTAGTGTCTTAACGACCATTCCACAGGTGCATGTTCATTAATTGTTTATGGTTCATTGAACAAGCATGGGAAACAGTGTTTAAACCCTTTACAATGAAGATCTGTGAAGTTATTTGGGTTTTTACGAATTATCTTTCTTTTTTAAAATATATATATATATATATATAACACAACATGCACACACACACACAGTGGCTTGTGAAAGTATTCACCCCCCTTGGCATTTATCCTATTTTGTTGCCTTACAACCTGGAATTAAAATTGATTTTTGGGGGGTTTGTATTATTTGATTTACACAACATGCCTACCACTTTGAAGCTGCAAAAAAAAAAAAAAAAAACCTGAGCGTGCATAACTATTCACCCCCCAAAGTCAATACCTTGCAGAGCCACCTTTTGCAGCAATTACAGCTGCTAGTCTCTTAGGGTATTGTCTCTATAAGCTTGGCACATCTAGCCACTGGGATTTTTGCCCATTCTTCAAGGCAAAACTGCTCCAGCTCCTACAAGTTGGATGGGTTCCGCTGGTGTACAGCAATCTTTGTTTTATTTTTGTATTTTACCCCCTTTTTCGCCCCAATTTCGTGGTATCCAATTGGTAGTTACAGTCTTGTCCCATCGCTGCAACTCCCGTACGGACATGGGAGAGGCGAAAGTCGAGAGTCGTGCGTCCTCCGAAACACGACCCAACCGAGCCGCACTGCTTCTTGACACAGTGCCCGCTTAACCCGGAAGCCAGCCGCACCAATGTGTCGGAGGAAACACTGTACACCTGGCGAC